CAAATGTGCAATCAAGATGCTCTAATAATTACTAGTGATTGCAATGCAAGAGTTGGAAACAAGGTAGAAGGATCAGTAGTCAGAAAATATGGCCTTCATGATAGAAATGATGTCAGAGATTGCATGATAGAATTTTGCAAGACCAATGACTTATTCATTAAAAAACGTTTTTTTCAACAACACAAACAGTGACTACACATGTGGACCTTGCCAGATACAATACACAGAAATCAAATCAACTACATGTTTGGAAACAGGTGATGAAGAAGCTCAATATCATCAGTTAGAACAAGGCCAGGGGCCAACTGTGGAACAGACCATCAGTTGCTCATATGCAAGTTCAGGTTGAAGCTGAAGAAAGTTAAGTTCACAAGAGCCAAAGTACAACCTTGAGTATATCCCACCTGACTTTAGAGATCATCTCAAGAATAGATTTGATGCACTGAACACTAATGACTGAAGACCAGACAAGTTGTGGGATGACACCAAGGGCATCATACATGAAGAAAGCAAAATGTCGTTAAAAAGACAGGAAAGAAAGAAAAGACCAAAATGGATGTCAGAAGAGACTCTGAAACTTGCTCTCAAATGTAGAGTAGCTAAAGAGAATGAAAGAAATGATGAAGTAAAAGAGCTGAACACAAGATTTCAAAGGATGGCTCAAGAAGACAAAGTAAAGTAATGAAATGTGCAAAGAGCTAGAGTTAGAAAACCAAAAGGGAAGAACACACTCAGTATTTCTAAAGCTGAAAGAACTAAAGAAAAAATTTTAAGCTTCTAGTTGCAATACTGAAGGATTCTATAAGCAAAATATTGAACGATGCAGGAAGCATCAAAAGAAGATGGAAGAAATACAAAGAGTCACTGTACCAAAAAGAAGTGGTCGAAGTTCAACCATTTCAGGAGGTGCGTATGATCAAGAACTGATGGCATCAAAAGAAGAAGTCCAAGCTGCACAGCTCCAGGAATTGACAGAATACCATTTGAGATGTTTCAACAAATGGATGCAATGCTGGAAGTGCTCACTTGTCCATGCCAAGAAATCTGGAAGACAGCTACCTGGCCAACCGACTGGACGAGATCCATATTTGTGCCCATTCCAAGGAAAGGTGATCCAGGAGAATGAGGAAATTATTGAACAATACCATTAATATCACATGCCAGTAAAATTTTGCAGAAGATAATTCAAAGGCAGTTGCAACAGTACATTGACAAGGAACTGTAAGAAATTCAAGCTGGATTCAGAAGAGGATGTAGAAGGCGGGATATCATTGCTGACGTCAGATGGATCTTGGCTGAAAGCAGAGAATTGCAGAAAGATGTTTACCTGTGTTTTACTGACTATGTAAGGCATTCGACTGTATGGATCATAACAAATTATGGATAACACTGTACAGAATAGGAAATTCTAGAACACTTAATTGTGCTCATGTGAAACTGTACACAGATCAAGTGGCAGTCATTTGAACAGAACAAAGGGATACTGCATGGTTTAAAATCAGGAAAGGTGCGCATTGGGGTTGTATGCTTTCACCATATTTATTCAATTTGTATGCTGAGCAAATAATCTGAGAGCCTGGACTATGAAGAATGCAGCATCAGGTCTGGTGGAAGACTCACTAACAATCTGCAATATGAAGATGACACAACCTTGCTTGCTGAAAGTGAGGAGGACTTGAAGCACTTACTGATGAAGATCACAGAGACCACAGCCTTCAGTATGGATTACATCTCAACATAAAGAAAACAAAAATCCTCACAACTGGGCCAATAAGCAACATCATGATAAACAGAGAAAATACTGAAGTTGTCAAGGATTTTATTTTACTTGCATCCACAATCAACATCCATGAAAGCAGCAGTCAAGAAATCAAAGGACGCATTGCACTGGGCAAATCTGCTGCAAAAATCTCTTTGAAGTTTTAAAAAGATGTCACTTTGAGGACTAAGTTGCACCTGACCCAAGCCATGGTATTTCCAATCACCTTATATATGCATGCAAGAGCTGGACAATGAATAAGAAAGAGCGAAGAAGAATTGATACCTTTGGATTATGGTTTTGGTGAAAAATACTGAATATACCATGGACTGCTAGAAGAACAAACAAATCTGCCTTGGAAGAAGTTCAGCCAGAATGTTCCTTAGAAGAAGCAAGGATGGTGAGACTTCATCTCATGTACTTTGGACATCTTATTAGAAGGGATCAGTCCCTGGAGAAGGACATTATGCTTTGTAAAGTAGAAGGTCAGTGAAAAAGAGGAAGACCCTCAACGAGAGGGTTGACAAAGTGGCTGTAACAATGGGCTCAAACGTAGCAACGATTGTGAAGATGGTGCAGAACTGGGCAATGTGTTGTTCAGTTGTACACAGGACCACTAAAAGTCGGAACCGACTGGATAGCACCTAACAAGAACACCACCAAAATGGATGACAACAGTACCTGTGCTGGGTAGCCAACCACAAAATTGCCTTTGAGGATCAAGTGCAATTATGTCAGCCAAGTGTTTGGTAAATGGTAACATGCGATTGAAATAGAGTATTGCTGTTGAGTTTCTACTCATTTCAGGTGAGGATGGAAGAGTGACGAGGGGGTTTAAATCAGTAAATGAAGAAAACAATTAGTTCTTCTATGTTGCCGGCAACCCATGCTAAGCATAAAGCCGGTTTTCAACACCTTCCTGCCTAACATCCATTCCATTATGTGTCTAGCGGGGGAACTCACACTGGGCTCTTCTTATGGCTATGGAGTCTGTCACGAGTTAGCCTGGACGCCAAGTCTAGGGAGGCTGCTGTGCTAAAGGTTAGATGAAGGCGAAATAGGAAGAACACAGAGTAGGAAGAACTCAAGAAGCCAGGCAGGAGTCTTCATAGAAAATGTCCCCTCCTCTCTTCCCAAGCTATCCCATTAGGTGAGGGCAGATTCTCAAATTCTCACATGATGGTCCAGGTGTGGGGAACCATCATGGATCAGTCAACTACATGAGCTCAGCATGTCCTGGGATGTGGGGAAGTTTCTACATTTGCCAACACTGGGGCAAGAACACTTCTTTCACAAGGTGAAGGACTCATGGGTTCTCACCACAAGCTTACTTTTACATTCCTCCCCGTGAACACCCCCTACACCTTATCTGATGGTGGAATTTTACAACGCTTGGTTTCAAGCTTAACAGCAATTTTATCTTCCTCATAAAAGAGGGAACTTTGTAAAAATCCATTTCAGAAGTAAATGGAGTGCAATAATAGAACTTTCTTCACTTTAAATTTTAAAACATCTATTTCTATTTTAAAATTTAAATTTTCTATTAAGTTTGCTTTAGCCTTCTACCTAGGCAGTCAGGAGTAGACTACAAAAAGGTCTTTTACCTTTTGCATTTTCCTCCCTTATTTTATGGATCTCGAAAAAAAAGAAACAAAGAAAAGAAGCCCAGAAACTTAACAATTTAATGAAAGTAAGTTAACTGTAGAACTTCAGGACCATGGTGAAAACATACATATTTGTCAGCTAACTGAAAAGAGGAAAGATGGATATTACTGGACTCCTAATAAAGTAGCATTGCGCACAGTCCCCCAAGGAAATAGCATTAATATATAAATTCAGGTGTGTGAGTTGGGAGGCGTGATGCATCTTTAGCAGAAAGAGCTCTATTAAAATAATAAGAATACCTTACATTTATATTTTGTTGTTAGTTGTCATCAAGTTGGCCCCCAACTCATGGTGACCCTATGTACAACAGGATCAGACCACTGTGATACACAGGGGTTTCAATGGCTGATTTTTTTTGGAAAGATTGCCAGAACTTTCTTCCTAGTCTGTCTTAGTCTGGAAGCTCCATGGAAACCTCTTCAGCATCGTAGCAACATGCAAGCCTCCATTGACAGATGGGTCGTGGTGCTGATTGAGATGCATTGGCCAGGAACCGAACCTGGGTCTCCAATATTGAAGACGAGAATTCTACCACTGAACCACCAGTGTCCACTTACATTTATATGCTGCTTTATAACATAAAAGGCCTATCTCATCCTTTCCTTTATTTGATTTTTATGACACTGTGATCTCTTTGACCCGAGTCTACCACTCTTTGCCATATACCACCAGCTGTCAGGGTAGGGTACGCAGAACAATGGGTCACACAGACAGCCCGTAGAGGGCCAGGATTGGAGTCCACATCCACCTGACTCCAGGGGCTCTCCTGAGTCCTTCTACTCTTTCTGTAGAAGGAGGTGTATACCATACACTAGGTAAAAAGGAGAACATGTATGATTCTCAGTTGAACAGAGTCTGGGCAAAGTAAGGGACTTTAAGTCCAAGTCTTACCATCCTTTCCCATGGACCCCTGGAAGATCAGGAATCGTCCTAGATAAGGAACAAGCACAAGCCAGAGAAAACCTCTTTCCTCCCCACAGGCCAGGTGGTGACTCTGCTAATGACCTATCTCTCTGACAAGACCTGATACTGCATGCCACGGGCAAATGTACCAGGAGTTCAAGGTACTGCTGCAGTGTTTCTTACTTTGACTATGAACGTTTCTGGAAATCATCATTTACATCTTCACGAATTTTTTAAAATACTTTTATCACTAGGTGGGGTCAACTTGATGGCAACCGGTTGGTTGCAGCCCTGGTGGCACAGTGGTTAAGAGCTATGGCCGCTAACCAAAAGTTCGAATCCACCAGCCACTCCTTGGAAATGCTATGGAGCAGTTCTACTCTGTCCCATAGGAGTTAGAGATGACTCGATGGCAATGGGTCTTTTGGTTTGGTTGGTTAGTTGGCTGGTTGGTACCACCAGCTTGCCCAGTTTTTAATAGTTGAGACCTGAGATTACTTGGACTCAAGTTCTGAGAGTGGCTCTGTGGTTAGGCAGGAAACGTTGGACACAATAATGCTGGTGTCTAGGAATGACTGGTTCCCCTCAATCTCTGTGCAAGCCCCCGAGTTTTCTGTTTCCTCCACCTTGTCCTAAAGGACACAAGCGCAGAGACCCCTCACGCTGTGGTTACCTGCTCATATTTCTCCAGCTCTGTGTGGTAGATTTGTCTGATCTGTGAGAGTTTGGCTCTGTAGTCGGAATGCTCCACTGAGTTGTCTGAACCTGCCCCTCCAGAAGCCGCCGCCGCTGCCGCTGCCGCCGCCGAACCGCCACCCTTCTCGGGGCCTGCGACCCCTTCTGCTAACAGCATGTTGTCCAGCCGCATCAGCTGGGGGTCTGTTGGTTCCTCTTCCTGCGCTCCCCGGATACTCAAAACTACAGGGAAAGACAAAGAGAAGGCGGAACGTTAACAGTACCCCAAGGGAGAAAAAGTCAAGAACAACAACAAACAATTGTGCTATTTGGCTAAACAGACATCCAAATTCCTTGCAATATGTCATTTAAGGAACTGAAAGGGTGAGAAAATGCAAAGAGATTTGCTTCATACCCCAAATGAATTTTAATAGAATATAACTTTACCTCCATCCCCAAACTGTGAAGTTTCAATTAAAAAAAAAAGCATTTTTGTCTTTGTCTTTCATTTTGAGGTTTCTGTGAGTCTATGGTTTAGACATTTGTTGATTTTCTTTGTAATGTTTGGTCGGCCTAAACTTTCATTTCCACAACAACCGAAGCCAGGTAGATCCAGCTAATCTGGTGTCAAATCTGTAAACCTTTCTCCTGGACTAGCAGAGAGTTTGGAGACATCTGACACAGCAAGAATGCAAACTGGCCCTTGAGGAGGGAATTCAGTCTCCAAAAACTGAGATCTGTGGCAGGTGTCCAAGGACTCTGTCCTGTCAGAAGCAAGGTGAGGCCTCCTTCACAAGGGGCTCCCCCACAGGCTCAGAGAGGCCAGCATTCTGGTGGGGCTCAGGCTCAGATCAATGAGATGCCACTTTTTATTAAAACATCACGACCATTTATGGGGGAGGTAATTTGGACTCAAAGAGATCAAGTGATTGAGCACGTCAGCAGGAGAGCTAAGTGGTCTCTCTTTACTACCATCACACAACCTGCCATTAAAAAATCACTCATCTAAATCCAGGTTTGTGGTCAGCAGTCAAGTCTTTGTTGAGAGGAAATAGGAAAAGAGCTTTCAATTTAAAAAAAAAAAAATCAACGACGATTTTTGAGAAGGGTAAGGTAGGAAGGAAGTGATCAAAGGCAGAGGCAGAAGGCACTTAGTGCTCACGTTTGGGGAAGGAGCTGGCAGGGTCTCAGCGGCCACAGGATCCACAACACTAGAGTAATCGGAGAGGCAAGAGCTGTTTCGGGGCAGAGTGCATCTGCTGAGCCTCATGGGCTGTGGCCAGTTCCAGTTGTCTCCCAACCCTACAAGGCAGCCCCGCCAGGTTGTGACAGGGAAGGTGGCTATGAGCCCAATCTGAGGGGACATCTAGATGTTCCGGGCATTCCACCATGTATAATACCAGCATAACTGCTGGCTGTGCCCACCTGCTCCTGCTTCTAACAAGCATGACAAGAAGCAACCTCGAAAGTTGTTCAGGAGGAAATGCCAATTCCTATTCTGATAGGCAAACTACAGCATTGCTTTCATGAAACCCGAGTAGTCCTGTGGCGTGCCAGGCCACACACGCACGCACACTGCATGCACGCACACTCGCTCACACTCGCTTGCTCAAGGGCTAGAATAAAAGGCACGGGGGAGGGACGCTTGCTCGTTGATGAAGGAGGAAAGAATAGGGCTGAAAGAAGGGAAGAAGAAGGGAAGGAGGAAAGAAGGGAGCCCACACCCACACATAAACCACCAACAGTTCAGGACCCTAGCTCTTCGCATTTCATACCTGAGTTTTTAATATTCAGCTGCAGTAAAATAAATTTAGTATAGTGGTGATGGTGCAGAGTTAGAGGATCACTGGGATTTATTTTGTGGACTCTTTTTTCCCTCCAATGAAATCCTTCTTTTATAGACTCAGCAGATAGGAAACTATCCCTTTGACTGATCTTTGAATAATGAAGATTTGGACACTATTCTGCTCCTTGAATTTATTTACTCAAATCTCCAAAGTCCTCTGAAGAAAATATCACCAACAAAGAAAGTAATTGAATGCTATTATACCTGAATTGGAGCCCTGGTGGCGAAGTGGTTAAGAGCTCAGCTGCTAACCAAAAGGTTGGCAGTTCGACTCCACCAGCTGCAACTTGGAAACCCTATGGGGCAGTTCTACTCTGTCCTATAGGGTCGCTATGAGTCGGAATCGACTCGGAAGGCAATGGGTTTGGCTTTTTTTGGTTTTATATCTGAACTAAGAAGCCCCAGTGGTGTAAACGGTCAAGTGCTCGGCTGCTTAACCGAAAGGCTAGCAGTTTGAATCCACCCAGCAGCTCCATGGGAGAAAGACCTGGTGATGTGTAAAGACTACAGCCAAGAAAACCCTATACGGCGGTTCTACTCGTCAGATGGGGTTGCTATGGCTTGAAATCAACTCGACAGCACCACCCCCACCACTAACATACCCAAATTACTGAACACCAGTCCCTAACAGTGCTAGAAAGACTCAGACCCTCCAAGTGCTGGGATCAGGGTCGGGCAACCCCTTCTTCCTTGCCTCTACCTCTAACGAATTCTCCAAGGTAAGGGCGTTTGTTTGTGGAGTTTATGGGCGTTTCTCTTTATTTAGTGAGTTTTAATTGCTTTTCCAACAAAGGTATTCGTGAGCCATTTAAAAATGAAAAAAAAAAAAAAAATTACCCCTGAACCACTCTTAATAAACTAATGTAATTGTTTCACTTTAGCTTGGTCATTAAAAAAATTGTGCTGGGGCAAAATTCTACTCTCTCATCTACCACCATGGCTGCCGAGAAAATTTCGTGAGGAGTGAGGCTGTTAACACTTGAGCTGGGAGGGAATGACTCCAAACGGGTCCTCTTGTTTACTCCATAACCAGTCTTTCTGGCATGGTCTCAACAATGGTGAACCCATTGCTGGCGAGTCGATTCTGACTCATAGTGACCGTATCGGACAGAGAAGAACTGCCCCATAGGGTTTCCAAGGAGCGGCTGGTGGATTCCAGCTGCTGACCTTTCAGTTAACAGTTGAATGCTTAACCACTGCACCACCAGGGCTCCCCCTCAACAATGGTAGCAAAGAAAAAAAGAACCATGTAGAGCTAGCAGAGGCACTGCCTGCCTGAGATGAGCCCAAGGACTTCACCCCTCCTCCCATCTCACTGATGCCTAAAACTGCTCCTCCACTTCATTAGTTTGTTCCTCTGGCAAGATCCACTTCATTCTGAGAGAAGTAAGAGAGGCAGAGAGGTAGGCATTCACAGACCTAAGTTCTGGTCCTAGTTCCTCCAGGTGCTGAGTATGAGACCTTGAGCATGTTACCATACCTAACAGATACCTCTGAAAATGGTTTCCCTTTCTGGCCCCGCTCAGTTTTACCCACATCCATGTTCCACCTTTTTTTTCCCTTTTTTAAAACGATCAATGTGAAGTACAAATTATCCATACAAACTCTATACATCTACCTAATTAATATGTTTCTTGGCTTTGAAATCTAACTGGTTTTAAATAAAACAATAAGGACAATTGCTAAGGCTGTCAAAGGACACCAGTGGCAGGCTTCGGCAGCGGGGCACTGAAAGGACTGGATACAGCCCACTCTGAGCTGACCGTTTCTTTTTCTCCAGGTACGAAGTGATACTTTTGAGGAAAAAACACAATAAGGGTGTTAGCATTTCACTTAGTTTTACATCATTGTACGAATTGTGTAAGTTAATACTCTTTATAAAGAAATATGAATTCATTAAGATTTAATATAGGGGGCACTGGCTGGAGCTCTGGTTGCATAGTGGTTAAGAGCTACAGCTGCTAACCAAAAGGTCAGCAGTTTGAATCCACCAGCTGCTCCTTGGAAACCCTATGGGGCAGTTCTGCTCTGTCCTATAGGGTCACTATGAGTCGGAATCGACTTGGCAGCAAGGGGTTTGGTTTTTCTGGTTTTGGTGGTTCAGTGGTGGAATTCTCGCCTTCAACTGGGAGACCAGGTTTGACGCCAATGTACCTCAAGTGCGGCCACCACTCATCTGTTTATGGAGGTTTGCATGAGCACTGGTGGCACAGTGGTTAAGAGCTTGGCTGCTAACTAAAAGGTTGGCAGTTCAAATCCACCAGCCGCTCCTTGGAAACCCTATGGGGCAGATCTACTCTGTCCTATAGGGTTGTTATGAGTCAGAATGGACTCGAGGGCAATGAGGTTTTTTTTTTTTAAATGATGCTGAACAGTTGTCATTGAAGCTTCCAAACTAAGATTAACTAGGAAGAAAGACCTGGAGACCTACTTTTGAAAATCAGACCATGAAAACCCTATGGATTATAAGGGTACAGCACCGGGCAGTGTTTTGTTCTGTTGTGTATGGAATCACGTAAGTTGGGGGCCAACTCAATGGCAGCTAGCAACGAAAAGACTTAATATAATTGATTCCTAAACGTGCCCAATAAGTAATTGGTGTGATAGAAATACAATGCACCATGACATAAATGTTGCTTGTGTTTGCACCCATAAATATCCCCCAAACCAGAGATCTGAAGAAAATACAGTAAAATAATGAAAAGATTAAGAATAAAAAACCAACAGTCTTCTCCAAATAACATTCTTCAAATTATACTCAAATCATTACAAAAACAGAAAATAAGAGATATATGAGGACAAAAATAAAACAAAACTGAAAGAAAAAAAGGAGCAATATAAACGGGAGAAAACCTTAAAAGAAAACCCTCATCTCCCACTACCTCACGTGAATATTCTGGTTCTGTGGACTTGGGCTGTGCTGATATGGTCTGAGGTGGGCAGGGATGGACTAATAACAAAACCACACACGTGTATCTACCCAGCGCTAGGCTCCTAATGTGTCCCTATAAAAATGGGTGTTGGGATTCACCAACATTGAAACTGTTCAGCTAGTCAGTTTAAAAAAAAAAAAAATTCTCACCAACATTAAATAAATAAATGGAAAGGGTGATACATCTAAGCAGAGCTGATGCTACCTATTTATTGCCTGAAGCCAGCACTCTGGCAAGTAGGAGACAAAATGATTATTTAAAAGCTCCTTTTTATCTGCGCCGCACCATGCAAGACTCAAATGAACCTTTCGCCAGGACACCAGAGATGTTAACACTCATCCTCCAAGATCCAATTTCAACCAGCGGAGCTGTTACCTAATCCAGCAACCATCACAAACGATCAGGTTCCCGCTTCCCTGATGGGTGCCCTCGCAGCCCCTCCCTCTCCCTCCGCCCTCCTCAAC